TAATTTCCCTTTTGGGTTGTTCCTTGTTAGTATATAGAAATACAACTGACTTTTGAGTGCTGATTTTTTAGTACTGCAACTGCTAAATTCATTTATTTTAACAGTGTTCTTGTGTGTGTATGTGTGTAATTTTTACAGCTTACTACATGTAAGATCATGTCATCTACAAATCCAGTTTTCCTTCCGGTTTGTAAGCTTTTTATTTCTCTTTGTTGCCTAATTGCTTTGGATAATATTTCCAGTAGTATGTTGAGAAGTGGCAAGAGTGGGCATCCTTGTCATATTCCTCATCTTAAGGAAGAGCTTTCAGTTGTTCATCATTTGAGTATGATGTTAGCTGTGGCCTTTTCATATATAAACTGATATTGTACTCTTTGAAAGGCATAAGTACCGCCATTTAATATACTTACATCTTAGGACATGATTAAACAAAAGTAGTAGGTTAGGCTTTAGAAAACGTATGAGCATGTTATAGTAGTACATGCCTGTAATCCTAGCACTTCAGAGGCTGCAGCAGTAGGATCTTGATGTTGAGGCAGCCTACGCTTCATAGTCAGTTCGAGGGCAGCCTGGGCAACATCGAGATCCTGTCTCAAAAAGAAAATAAGGCTAGCCAGTGTCTCATGGGCTGTAATCCTAGCTACTCTGGAGGTAGAGATATGGTGGATCATGGTTCGAGGCCAGCCCAGGCAAAAAGTTCATGAGACTCCATCTTAACCAACATCTGGGTGTGGTGGATCAAATCTGTCATCCCAGCTACTATGGGAAACATAAATAATATTGTGGGGTGGAGAGGGGAGCGAGATATATTGCTAAGAGTGCCTGCTTAGCAAGCGTGGAGACTTGGGTTCAACCTTTACTACCAAAAAACCCCACAAAAATTGAAAAAAAAAAAAAAGGAAGATATACTTAACTTGGATCAAAAACCACTACTGTGTGCAGTGGCACATGCCTGAAATACCAGCTGCTCAGGAGGGTGAGGCAGGAAAGTTTCAGTCAGCTTGGGCAACACAGTGAGCCACTATCTCAAAAAACAAAACAAAACGAAAAACCTACTACTTAGTTTCTTGGGCAAACTAGTTTATGAAGAATTTGCTTGGTTTCTGATCCCATTGAAATCTTTGACCCAAACTACTTGGCTGTCTTGAAGGTAACTAGTGATCACTGAATTGTAACTCACCCTGCCTTAATTGTGACTTTCTTTACAGTGTTCATTGATTTGTGGTTCTCCTATTACTTTGGTTCTTCCATCATAATTCCTCTCCCTCCTCTCACTTTGTAAATGTGGGTATCCCTCAAAGTTCTGTTTTTGATCCCATTTATCTTCTTGCTCTTTATTCTCTCTCAGCCATCTCAGGGCCATCATAGCTTCAGTCATTATCAGTGTACAGTTGATTTACATGTCTGCCTTGTACAAAGATTACGTTTTTACTTCTTTATCTTTGCACATCTCCATCTAAATTCCTTGCCTTCAATTGAAGATGCCACAGATGAACACCTTACTTTTCCTTGTCTCTTGTTTTATGAAGATCTAGGTCCGTAGATCCCCACATCTTACCTGTTTTGTGTTTATCAATTCTGTCCATTCTTACAGGGTTATACCCTCAATGGGGCTCTTACTGTCTTTTACCTGGTAATACTGCAGTAGTCAGTCTTCTGATCTTTTTTTCTCTCTTTACCCTTATACCTACTGAAATTCACCTTACGTAATTCTGTTGTCATAATGCTTGTAAAACATAGAGCTTTTTTTTAACTCTGCTCAAAAACTTATGCTGGCTTCCTCTTGTGTTTAGATTGAAGCCAATTCCCAAGCATAGCATAAATCTGACTTCTCTTGCCTCTGAATTTGATCTACCATTGTTCTCACACTTACGTCAGCCCAATTTGGCTACTCTCTGTTCCCTGAGCATGGGTGGCAGGCAAACTGCCTTTACTCATGCATGCCATTTCCTCTTGTATCCTTCGGGTTGCCTTCCCTTGTCATTGTCAATATATTTTAAGGTCTACCTCAAATACCATCTTTTCTACAAAGTAATATCCTGGGCTACATATGACCTGCTTATTTTCTGTTCTAAAACTCTTTAGCTGATGTTTTCATATAGGCTGTTTTTTAAATTATTAAGCCCTTGGTGGTTTGATTTGTGTTTGCTTTTCCAGCCATGTATCTAGCCACTCCCCCTTAGGAATCCTGTGATTCACCACATAATCCACACAGAATCACTTCTTCTTCCTTAGAGTAAGCTGTATGCTTTTTTGCACTTGTCATTTCCCCTGTGTGGCATATCTTTCACAGTTGTTTTTTGGGGATGTGGGTAGAGTTAGTGGTGGTGGCCTTTGAAACTAGTTCTGCATATATGTCCTCCATCACCTAGATTACCTCCATCTATTGAGTTCTACCAATAGTTTGGCATAGTGGAAAGAGCTGGCATTTGAGGTTTAGTTGAAGCTCTGGTTTTGATATTTCCTAGTCAAGTGAACTTGGTAAAACTACTTAATTTTTCTGACTCTGTTTTTCAATCTGTCAAATAGGCATGATATTTAACTTTACAGGACAAATACACAGTTTAAGTGAGGGGCTGAGGATGTAACTCAGTGATAGAGTGCTTGCCTAACATGCACAGAGCCCTGTGTTCAATCCCCTACACTGCCAAAGGAAAAAATGCGTTAAAGCAAGAAACAGCATATAAAATGCGTAGCATGTAGTAAGTCTTCAATAATTGGTGTCAGGCCTCACAAGTGAATAAATGCATAAGCAGCAGCAATCTTTGCTTCCTCTTTGGTTTCCTTCCATGGATTCAGTTGTGTGTGGTAGAGGCAGGGGAAATGGGGCAGACTGAGATGAGGTGCTGAAAGCAGAGCACCAAGGGTGTATTCCTACTCCTTGGGGGCTGGTTAGAGATCAAGAGAATCTTCTCCCTCTCTGCAGGCAGTATTGACTTCTTCCTTACAGTGTAGATGACACTTTGTACCTCTCCAAAGAACATATGCTTTGCTCAACATCTTAGTTGTGCTGCTATCCATTTCTGCTCCTCCAGGATGTCTTCCATCTTATCCCAAACTATGACTTTGAAAGTAAAGATCCTTGTTCCCTTCAGCTCTGTCCGTACAGACAAAAGTCCTGGCTTTGTAACATGAATGATTAGGCCCTTCATGATTTGGTTTGTATCCTCCTCTGTAGCCTCACCTTTCATCATGTCCCATGCTGTGGACATTTGCCATTTTTGGTCTGTCTAGCATTTGGGCTCTTTTCTGATGGTGGGAAATTTCACAGGGACTTGGTGAGCAGGACCTGTCTCATCCAGAAACTGTAAAATTCAAATCTTCATTGTCCCTGCTCCTTGGCAGCCAGAACACAGGAATGTGACCCCAGTGGAGACCCACTGCAGTCAGTGGCACATGGGATCAAGGACTGAGGCTGTGGTGATAGTGGAGTTGTTCTCAGGTCACACTGGCAGTGGGTCTCCACCAGACTCTTCCTGGGAATAGTTTTGACTGTGGTCTGGCTCCCCACTAGTTTCAGCACCTTAATTGTCCAGTTTATGTTGGATCTGTAAGGTTACAGATAATACTTATTTCCTCAATATTTCTTTTCTTCTTGAAAGAATACAAAGTGGTTCCTGCCCTTGCACTTATGAGGAGTATTCACAGATTCCACCCTTCATTACCAAGTGTTTAATTCACATTAAACCTTTTACAGTTCTTCCAAACTGACCATGGTTGTTTCACTTCTGACCTTTTGCAGTCTGTTCTACTACCTGGATTACCCTTTATCCCATTCCTGATCTGGTTGATTCCATTGTTTTTGGTAGTACTAGGGTTTTGAACTCAGGGCCTCATGCTTGCTAGGCAAATGCTCTACCACTTGAGCCATGACTTTAGTCCTTTTTGTTTTTGGTGTTTTTCAGATAGGGTCTCTCCTTTTTGCCTGGTCAGGCCTCAAATCATGATTCTCCTGTTTCCAGCTCCTGAGTGTGAGTCATGATGCCTGGCCCCTATATGATTCTTTATCCTTTTTTTTTTTGTAGTACTGAGGTTTGACCTCAGGACCTTATACTTGCTAGGCAGGTACTCTTACCACTTGAGCCATACCTCTGGCCCTCCCTATACAACTCTTAAAGGTTCTTTAGTATTCGGCTCTGTTGCCATATCACTCTTTCTACAACTCTTCCCTTATCTTAAGGTTAGATTAGCTCCTTAGTGTTCCCATAGAGTACTCTGCTTATCTCTGTTATAGTACTTGTTACCTAGAATTGTCTTTATACAATGTCTTAGAGACATTGGTTGGTGTCATGTTGGGTATTTTTGTACTGTCCCTGCAAAATAATACTGTCTAAATTTTATTTGTTCAACAATGAAAAACTATTGAATTATATACTGTTATATTAAAATTTGTCTGTTTGCACATGTTTTCTCTAAAACTATAAACATTTTAAGAGCATGAACTTTCATCTTAATTTTATAGTACAATATTTGGCTTAGAGTAGAAGCTGAGGGAATGTTAAATGCCTAAATGAATGAAGAGCTGTCTTTTTAAAATTTCAGTTAACAACAGTAGTATGATAATAAAAAAATTAAGAAAGTAAATGAAATTTCAGTTGAGCAGTTTTTCCTGAAGGAAGGTGTTGTCTTTCACCATATGGTAAAGATGGGGTATCTGTATGTGGCTCATATTGAATAATTGGCATCCCAGCTCCTTCCATGCAGTAGGGTTGGCAGTCTACTTATAGGTAGATACTGTGTACAAACAAAAGGATCACTGTTTGATAGGTCAGTGACTGCCCAGTTAGTGAATAGGGACAGATGGCACTTGAGTTTCAAGCTAAATATTACGTTCTTAGTTGAGCCACTGAGTGTGTAGGATCCAGAGCAAAGGTGGGGTGTGGCTGTTGGTTAATTGGACTGATTACCATGGAAGCTGGAAGGAGGCTTTCTCCTATTTTACTTAGCTTATATACTTCTTATTTTGGACTGACTCATTTTTTTTTTTCATTCCTTTTTAGGTCCAAGACAACTTTGACAAGATTGAATTCAATAGGATGTGTTGGACCCTTTGTGTCAAAAAAAACCTCACAAAGAGTCCACTGCTCATTACAGAAGAAGATGCCTTTAAAGTGTGGGTTATTTTCAACTTTTTGTCTGAGGACAAGTATCCATTAATTATCGTGCCAGAAGAGGTAAGCTTCTGTGGCTTTGGGGAGCTTTTACAAGGCTGTCTTAGCATTGAGTATACCGGCTTGGAAGTATTTGTGTTGATTTATTATCAACATGGAAGGAGATTCTTGATTAGTGTTTTGAGATCAGAGGCAAAACAGCTTGGGTCCAGAAAAATGCAGACTTAGTGATTTGGAAGAATGTAAAATAACCTTGAGATTTGCAGAGAGGCTAGGACTCTTCCTCTCTGAATTGCTGTGATTATAGATGAATCCATCCTCATGTCCAAAGAATGTTTGTTCAGTACAAGTCACAACAATGATTTTCTGTCTACTTGCACATTTGCAAAAAAAAACTTAACAAACTGGACGAGTGATGCTATGTGAGAAACACATAGGACCCAGAATGATGATCTCAAAGCTGTTTTATTTGAGCAAATAATATTCTTCTAGGATGATGACTTTTTATTGTACTTTTCAAAGTAAATGAAAAAGGACATCTGCTTGTCTTGTCTGGATTATTTTTCCTGAGCTTCCAAAAGGGAAGAAATTAGGAATGAGGTTTCTTTGCTATCTTACTGCTTTTAAAAGTTTCATAATTCATGCTATTACAGTAGAAACTTTGGAAAAGGTTAATGTGCAAAATTAAGATCAGCTGTAGCCTCTTCCCCTTAAAAATTCACATGTAATTCCTTAACCCTGGACACATTATTTAAGATCATGAGTGTTGACTTCCTCATCTATGAAATAAAGCCAATAACAGTATTTATACTAAGATTGTAGGTTCTGCATTTAAAGGACTTAGCTCGGTGCCTGACATATAATACGCACACAGTAAGTGTGTTAACTCCTTTGAATACTGTCAGTTCATGTATTTTTGCATACTAATCTGCTTATTTCCTTAAGATAAATTTCCAGCAGTGGAGTTTTGAATCCTAAGAAATGTACACTTTCAAGGTCTTTGATGAACAGGGAAGAATTGCCTTTCAGAAAGGCTGGACAAATTTATACATCTAATGGGAGCGATTAAGGGTGCCTATTTTTATCCATCCTGCCAATATGGAGTCTAGTGTGTGAATTACATGATTCATGTTCATGTTAGGGAAATAACTGAAATCTGTTCAAAAGTTCACACTACAGGATTTTATTGAAAATCAACATTTATTGACTGCCAACGATAAGTGAGGCAACTAAAATAAAAAGTGGAAAAGATTACTTTTTGTCTTAATGGAATTTACAGTCTACTGAGGAGAAAAACAAATCAAATATAATGTGCAGCAGAAGACACTACCTGTTATAAGAGAGATGCAAATGTGATGTGACTGTAGAGAGGGGAAAACTTTATTACAGTTCGTGGGGAGAGTAGAGGATCAGGGTCTCTGGTCTTGAACTCATGGACTCAAGCAGTATTCCTGCCTCAGCTTCCTGGTGCTGGGAATATAGGCACGCATCCCCACCTCTGGCCAGGGAAGTCCTTTAAAAGAGACAATATAATATAGTGGTTAAAAGCAGTATCTTAAACTTTTTTAGTCACTGTCCAGACCATAAATATTTGTGGCTTTGTGGACTTCTGAGCCACACCGTTGCTGCCAGAACTGCTCAGCTCTGCTGTTGTGAAACGAAGCAGAACAGACAGTATGTGGCTGTGTCTCAATAAAACTTTCATTTATGAATGTTGAAATGTGAATTTCATATAACTGTCATAGGCCATGATATACTATTTTTATTTTTTTCCCCAACTAAAAATGTGAAAAAGTATTCTTCGATCATGGTTGTATAAAAGCAGGTGATGTAGCCAGGTGCAATGGTACATCCTGTAATCCTGGCTACTCCTGAGGCTGAGGTAGGGGGATCATGAGTTTGAGTCAAGCCTGGGCAATACACTGAGACCCTGTCTCAAAACAAAAACAAAACAAAAAACAGATGATAAGTCAGATTTGGCTGGTTGGTGGGCTCTAATTTGTTGCATCCAGGTTAGGAGAAGGGCTCTGGAGTCAGAGTTCCTGGATTTGGATTTGGATTCACCGTTTACTAGCTGTGTGGCCTTGGGTAACATACATTGTTTTTGCTGCAGTTTCTTCAACTGTAAAATAGAGCTCATGTAATATTTTCCCCCTGGTGTTATTAGGAAGATCAAGTGAGAATTAGAAAGTGGTCATTAAATGTTAGCTATTATATTTATGGGAAAGTAGAACTTGTACTGGACCTTGAAGGGTGGATGGAAGTATTGTGATTAGTGGTGAAGGCAGAGGAGATGCATTCTGGATGGAGGAAACAGAGTTATGTGAGGCAGGATAGCCAAGGGCATGAAGTGAGTGAGGAATCTGGTTTGACTGAGTTGCCAGTTCATATGCTTACTTGGACACAGCCTAATTGTCTGACTAGCCAAAAAAATTTTTTTTTGGTGGTACTGGCACTTGAACTCAGAGCTTTGTGCTTGCCAGGCTCTGCCACTTGAGCCATACCTACAGTCCTTTTTATGCCTTAGTTATTTTTCAGATAGGGAGTGGTCTGGATCACAATCCTTTTTATACCTCCTGTGTAGCTGGGATGACAGGTGTACTTTTATTGGTTGAGATGGTTCTAATGAACTTTTGTCTGAGCTGGTCTTGATCTATAAGTCTCTTGATCTCCACCTCCCAAATAGCTAGAATTATAGGCATGAGCCACCATGCCTGGTCCCTCAAAAGACATTTTTAAAAAAAGAACCTGATTACCTCCAATAAACAATTTGTGGACCCAATGTCTGTGTCAGAGTCTATGTTTTAGGCAACCCCACCAAGAATAATTAATAGATATACAAATTTTAAATACCTATAATTTGGCATAGAGGTATAGAAAAACACATATTAAAAACATTTTAAAATATGCAAATATTTGACATATGCATAAATTTAAATATTAATAAAGAAAAGGATACTGTAGATAGATCACAGAATCACCATGATGGCTGAAAAACTGGTTTGGAGGCTGTAGCCCTATCTATGCTGCTCACTCCAGTGAGGAGCCCCAGGAAATTTCTGCAGCCACTAGAAGGTAGCTGTTATAATTCAGCTATGACCCTAAACACCAGGTGTTGTCCAGGAACTCACATAACCCCACAGCTGCTTTTCTACCAGAGAGAGTTCTCCACATCTCAATTCACAGTCAAGTATGAGGCATGTAACTGGCACAGCCTAGGTGAGGTGCTGTACAGTGGCTGCAAAGGGGGGTGGGGAGTGGTACATTGGTGTTTTCAGCTTCTATGTTGGGAGGTAGGGAATTCTCAGACATGAGGGGAAATGCTGGGCAGTCAAAAAAGAATGTTATATGTTCCTTCTAACTGGAACATGATGGCTCTGAAGAAAAGTGGTGGTGGATGAAGCTGGAGAGTTCTGACTTTTTCTTGTAGGCATTGGGGAGCTGTGAACCACTGATGATCTGAAAAAGAGAGTGAAATGTGAATAGATAAAGTATGGCGTGATGGGCAGTGAAGGAAGGTTAAGTGGCACTGAGGACTAAAGTACAATAGTGTCAGTGGGAATGGAGAAGACGACCAGATGGTCACAGGACCAAGCCTTTAGTGCCTGGTTGTGGAAAAGCATAGGCAGGTCTCGGGCATGGGCAACAGGAAGTAATACAGTGTTTTTATTTTAAGAATTGTCTTTGAAATCAGACTTACTGGTTTGTAACTCAGCTTAACCACTTATTTACTATCTGACAAATTATTCAGTCTCTTTGTTTGAGTTTCCTCATCTGTAATAAAATTGGGATAACTACTATAGACTTACAGGATTTAGCATAGTAAATGGAAGTACACACTAAAAGTGTGTGTGTGTGAGAGAGAGAGAAAGACAGAGAGAGTGGCTAATGAGCAGATTGGGTACATGATGGCATTTAGGTGTGGAATATTCTTGCGGAGCTTTCCTGTACATCTAGAGTTTGTGAGAGGCCAGAGCTGGAGACAGATATAGGGAAACCATGGCTGTAGATTTGATCAGGGAGAAAGAGACTGTAGTGGGAGTGTCGAAGGCCAAGGACAGAACCTTAGGACTGTTTCTGTAACAGAAGGAGGAAGTAGATTTGGTAAAGGAAGCTGAATTGAATAGGCCGTGAAATAGGGAGGAGAACCAGCAGAGTGTTGAGTTATGGCCACTAAAGAAACAAAAGTTCTAAGAAGCAGAAAAGTGGTTAATGACATTAGATACTACAGAAAAATTAGTGGTAAGAAGGTACCCTTGAATTTAATAATTAGGCACTGTAGCAGTGGGAATAGTTTTTTAGTATTAAATGATGATGGTAATATATCAATTATGTATTTGTGTTAAAGGGGAAATAAAAAAGAAAGTATGCTACAGAATTTTTGTCCAAGGAACTTGTCTAGCTTTAGACAGAGATAGATAGAAGGGAATAGAATAATGACAGATGTAGAAAAAGATGTATGAATGGCTTTCAGAAAACTTGGGTGCTGCTCGGAAGAACTACGTAAATAAGATTTCCAGTGTGGCCTTTTAAGACATTTTGCAGTTACATTCAGTATTACACATTTATTTATGTTTTTTGGAACTGAAGGTAGAGTGGGCCTCTAACTCTTGACATTTTGGTTTTTTTCATCACTAAAATGTTCATAGTGGACTTGAAAGTGACCTTGTCCTGATTTAAGAATTAGAAATTATTAAGGAGGCTTACTTTATTCCTCGAGGTAAGCAGAACTTGCTTGATGTGGGGGACTTGTCATGGGCTTCAAATTGTCACTGAGTACCGCTGGCAAGGGAGCCATTAGCATTGGCTTCTCAACCATTCTGCCTCAGAAACTTGAAAGATTTCTGCTCCAGGTGCCTAAAGAATGGGACTCTTATGGGCCTATGATGTACACTACGACTCTGTCCTTCCTGTAGCCCAGAGTTCCGCCCCAGACACTTCAGCATGCTTACCTTCATCTTTGCAGGCTGACACAAAACAAGTTAATCTATTTTGAGAAGAGAATAGCCTCTTTGATTGTCAGAATAGCCAGGCAGCACTTTGTCACGTTATTGTTTGGATTT